GTGTGCTTGGAGTAGGTCAGACCAGGCTGAGTGGGGATCCTGGTTCTTCCCCTTCTAGCTGTGAAACCTCAGGCAAGTTATGTAGCTGTCCTGAACTCTGAGGTGAAAGGAAATGTGGAAAAAGTATCCTACACATAAGTTTGCTTATTATTTTGTTATCCTGGAGTAGACCATGACTTCCGTGATTTTTGTTTTAATTATATTCGACCTATAGTAGATTTGGGAGACATCTTTAATTTAAATTTTAAATGAATACATAAATTTCCCCAATAACAGACCAGTAGGGGACATGTTAAATTATTTTTTAAAGCACTGTTTTTACAAAAAGGTCTAGAGCTCAGGAGTGTTCCCTGAGGATAATGAAGAGTTAGTCGCTTCTGGAATTGATAGGTAAGCATTTGGGAAACTTGTTCCACAGAGAAAATGTCAAGGGAAAAGTAAATATCGTGTTAGAGACTTTCTGCTCTTATTTCTGATTCTTGGGACCTCCAGGCCTAACTCTATGAAAGAGGATGATAGGGCTGGAGGGAAGGAGTGGAAGAAAGAGCTGCACCATGGCTGCACCTTTCTAGTTCTGCTTTGACTATTCTCTCATGTCCACCTTCATTTGTGGGTAGAAGAAGAAGACTAAAAATCCAGAGAACAGAAGAGGAAGAGGAAATGGTGATGGACAGAAAAGCAAGTCAATTATTTCCCCAGTGTTTTACTATGAAAATCCGCAAGAATGCAGGGAAGTCGAATTACACAGTGAACATCTTACTGTATTTGCTTTGTAATAAATGGATACAATAAATGGGATGGATAGATATATTTTAACTGGTCAAAAATAGGAAAACAAACAAATCCACCAAGGTAGAACAAAATACCCTGCTTTAAATACCGACCCAATCTGAAGGAGCAGTGAAAGAACAAGGTGCAACAGGAGCCCAGATGGGATGGGGATAAATCTTCCTTGTGCTAGTCAAGCCCAGCACAGGAAAGGAGAGCAGGCAGTGCTCTGACACAGGCAGGCTACTTCATTCTAGCCATTTATAGGCCAAAGCTTATTAGTCAGGACTTTCTTGGTATCAAATAACAATATCGGCTTGAGCTAGCTTCAGCAGAAAAGAAATATGCTGAACAGATCCTAAGGTTCCCATGTCACTGTGGGCAGGGCAAAGGTACAAGACTGGAGCTCAGAGTGGCTGGGACCAGGGACTGGAATACCTGGGACTCTCTCTTTCTGTTGTTTATCTCTGCTTGCCCCTGCTTCTATGTCACCTACTGACATCTAGCCTTCTTCTGTGTGTGTGTATGAAGCGTGGGTGCCATCATGCCTAAGCCTCTCACTTCCCTTGGAAGGCTTGGCTGCTGCTTTACTTATTTCTGATTTGCTTTATTTAAAAAAATGAAGCAAAAAAATTGGGAAAGGTCTGCTTGGCTGAGCATGAGTCATGTATCGATCCTACCCAGTCTCCTATCTGGGTCAGGGCCCCCTCCTCCTTACCCAGAAAGCAGAGTCTTATAGTCTTATAGTTTAGGCATGTTCTATAAAAGTCTTGCAGACCCCGTCAGTGTTTGTAATCATTCTGAGGGAGAGCTCTAAACCTGCACTGCCTAGCGCCGGACCCACTAGCCATGTGTTGCAAACAAGCCCTTCGAGTGTGGCTAGTCAAAATTGAGAAGTGCTTTAAGTGTAAAATACAAAAAAAAAATGTAAAATACCTCATTGATATTTTTTACATTGATGATATTTTGAATGCATTAGGTTAAGAAAGTATATTCTTAAAATTTTACCTGTTTCACTTTCATAATGTGAGTAGTAAACAGTATAAAATTATATATGCTGCTCATATTTTATTTCCATCAACAGTGCTGCTCTAAACCATTGGTTCTCAAAGTGTGGTCCCCAGACCAGCAGCATCAACATCGCCTGTGAATGTGCTAGAAATGCAAATTCTCAGGCCTCTAGACCTAGGGAATAAGAAATGTGGTGGTGGTAGTGGGCAGGTAGGGGTTTGGGGTATAGGCAGCAGTCTGCATTTTAATAGACCCTCCAAGAATTCTGATGCACTCAAGTTTAAGAACTACTGCAACCACGACATGTTATCTACTTTTAAAGACTGGCTTATGTTATGTGTGATGATTTGAGGGTTTTGGATTTCCTCCACTATCTTTGTGGAATTGAGAAGAATTTCTTAGTTACTTTAATCTGTGAGCTATTTAAACTTTTCCGTTTTGTAAGCTTTCATGTGCAGGTGTTTGGCATCTTAAATATCAGTGAAACAGTTAGTGAAAATACTTACTAAAAATATCAAAGCAACACCGACGCACATACCTTCTTAGGGATCTTCTGTAACAAACCAGAAATCTCAAATGATGCTGAAGCTGCATTCAATGACCAAGAAACAAAGCCAAAAATGCAGCCATGAATAGAGAAAGAATAAGAATTAGTAACTGAGACTAGGAGCTTTTTGAATCTGATATTGCATCCAAAAACTAGCGATAGAGTAAGAGTAGCTTCAGCTGTTTGCTTAGGAGGACAGGGAGAATTGGTTTTTCAACTTTATGTCCTGCTTGCTGAAAAAGCTTCTAAGCAATAAATCTTTCTCAAATGGAATTCTTTGTGGAAAGTACAAGGGAAATGAAGTGCTACCTAGACTCCTCATGCTGAGTGGTAAGGAGATTGCACGCTCTTGGCCTGTAGTACATCTTAATTATCCCTTTGCCTAGTGAGGAAAGGATCAGATCTGTTTATATTACAGACTGGGAACATGAAGTGGGAAGTCTTCCCACTGCTTGCCGACTCCTGTCCTCCTGTCCTCTGCTGCCTCTGCCTGTCAATTTGACTGAGAACCAACCTCTTATGGAGGAGGGGGTGGGGGCAAACTCTACCCCGGGCACCAAATAGGTGGAGGCTGTGGTGGGATTGCAGAGGCAACTTTACCCCTCTGGTCCCAGCTGTCTTCTCATTTGTTGGATTCCCTGTTCTGGTTTGCAGATTGAGCCTTTGCACCTGGGCCTTTGATGTAGCGTTTGCTGATTTGCTCTTCTTGTGTTAGACTTACTGACTTTAGTAAAGTAGGAGAATCAGGTAGAAGAAAGCAGAACCATGTGCATATCATTTTTTTTTTTTGAGGTGTTATCTGGGGAATTCTCAAAATCTAAAATCAGAATTGATTTTTTTTTTGGTGACCTGGGCATGCTTCTAGGCAGAGTGAATAATATTTTTTTGTTGTTCAGAAAAGGTTGCTGACTTCATGAACTATTGTCATTTAGTATGAAAAACATTACACTTGTGACCTGATGGATAATTTGAGAGGCTGGAAAGCTTGGGTACAGGAACCCTTGTTCTCTGAAACATAAAAACAGTTATGGAGTCCCTGTAAGGGCAATTGAGTGATATCTGTGTCAACCCGAGGGTCATATTTACTCCTCTTGTTAAAATAGGGGTCTGTGCTGTTGGCCAGAAAATTTAGTAATTGGAAGTGCATGCAAATCATCCTTTTAGTGTTAGCTATTTGTTTTTTAAATTAAGAATTTGTTTTTAGCATTAATACGTTGGCTAGGTGGAGGGTCAGGGGTGGGAGGGAGCAATTGGGGGGATCGGTTTATGAACTATATAGATGTCTAACCAATGTACTGCATACTTGAAACTAATTTTAATTAATTAATTGATTGATTGATTGATTAATAAGAATTTGTTTAAAGATCTTGACCAGGGTTGCTTGCCTAATATTAAGACTTGTACCATCTTCCCTCTCTTAGAAAGTAGGCTATGAGGGATTATTATTTAAAGAGTAGAGTTTCAGTTTTGGATGATGAAAAAGTTCTAGAGATGAATTATGGTGAGGCTTGCACAACATTGTGAATGTACTTAATGCTACTGAACTACACACTTAAAATGATTAAAATGATAAATTTTATGTATATTTTATCACAATAAAGATTTAAATAACAATAGGGAAGAATGGGGGGAAAGTAGACTAGCATTTGCAAGGGTGGAACCAAGGCTGCCTAAATTATAACCCCATCCCCATTTCCTTCTTCTTTGTAATTGAGGCATAGCATACTTAACAATAAAAAATTAAAAATATAAAGCACATTAATCTTAGATTCAGCTCTACAGCTCATTGAATTTTTACACGTTTATATCTGCTTAACCACTACCTGGTTAAGATGTACAACATTCCAGCACCCCAGAAGTTTCTTTCCCCTAGAGGTAACTGCTATCTTGATTTTTATCACCATGGTTTGCTTTTTTCTTTTCTTATCACTTTATTTTATATGTATTTATTTTTTTAGGCGAGGCAACCCTTAGTTGACCTCACAGATTGCAAGGACCTTGTCAGCTTACAACCCCTTATTTTTTTATTGTTATTTTTTAAAATTTTTTACGCCTACATCACCTGGTCTTCCTAGGTGGTCTCCCATCCGCATACTAACCAGTCCCAACCCTGCTTAGCTTCCGAGATTAGACAGGATCGAGCTTGTTCAGGGTAGCATGGCTGTAGACAATTTATTTTTTTTTTTAATTAAATTTATTGACCATCATTTAGTTTTGCCAGCTCTTAACTTCATATAAATGGAATCTGGCAGTGTATATCCTTTTGTGTCTGGTTTCTTTCACTTAGGATAATGTGAGATCCATCCAATTATTAGTGTATTTGTAATTCTCTTCTTTTTAATTGCATTTAGTTTCTATTGTATACTCTACCACTATTTAATTTATTCCATCTCCTGTTGAAGAACATTTGGGTGGTTCTATTTTTGGCTGTTATAAATAAAGCTGCTGAGAACATTCTTTTGATGAACCTGTGTACTCACTTCTCTTGGGTATAGATCTAGGAGTAGGATTGCAGAATCATAGGGTGCAAACATTCAGCTTTAGTAGATATTGCCAATTTTCCAATGTGGACGTACCAGTTTACACCCCCCAGGAGAGCATGAGAGTTCCGATTGTCCTGCCACCTCACTAACACTTGGCATCGGCATTTCTTTTCTCTTTAAAGCCATCCAGGGTGTAGTACCATGAAATTTAAATGATGCAAAAGTGGAAAATTTTTGTTTTATTTGTACAAATCTTTAAACTCCTAATCCTCAGTAAATGACCCTGAAGCCAATGGAGCAGTGTAGGGCAGGGCCTTTGGGCCCTCAGCCAGCGTGGGGAGCAGAAGCTGCCTGCTCCACGTCTCTGTTGATTTGAAGGCTTTTTCATACTGTCTTCTCCAGATATTGGATATATTCATGATGGCTCAGGGCATCTCCCTGTTTCCAGTCTTGCAGAACTATTCCTCTTCAGCAATATTCTTTAAGGGAAGACTTACAAAGATTGAAAGAACTTATTTGTGGTTTTTCTCATTAACCTTGAATATAATTTATCTGGACCAGAAATGTAAGATCATTTAGGGGTTAACCTCTTAGACTTCAATTCCTTTCAACAGATGTTTGTTTTCCCCTTTCATGACAGAGAAGAAAGCAGAAAAGGATTAAGGGGGTTCTGCTTTTTTTCTGCCATCCATTAACAGTGTTCTTCTGGCCTCCAAAAAAATTCCTTTCTTCCTTTAGAACATATTGGCTCTATGAGATCATATAGAGTGCTCGGTGTTGAGCACATGGTAGATATTTCTTCTCTTTACTTCCTCTAGACATATATTTTAAGTTAATTTTGTTATCCTTGAATTTTTTCTGCATTGCTCTGCCCTGCCTTTTGTGCTTTTTTCTTTAGCTCCCATTCTTAAAAAAAATTTTTTTTAAATCTTGTGTTAACTTGTCTCCATCTTTTTCTTAGGTTAAGGGCAACTCAGGAATGGCTCTTTTGTGTCTGATGTTGCTGTTCATAGCTTTTCTTGGTAGGCCTAGTACAATCTTGGGAACGGGGTTGCTGTACGCTGAAGCTCTTAGCCTTGCCTATCTTAGGTAGTTATGCTGCACATTTTTTATTGGTGTACAATGTTTGGTTTGTTCCTGATACCTTTGGAGTTTTGCTGAGAAATGGAGCACTAATGCAGCATTAACTTATTAAAATACATTTTAAGCTTTTAAAAAACTTTTTAACTAGGAAAGCAGAGCTTTAAAAACTTCGTTATTTGAAGTGTGACAGGATGGGTAATATTCACCTATAATCTTATAATATTCTTTGAAACAATAATGGAAGATCATACTAGACCTGTAAATGATACACATAGGTCTGTCTAGCTTTGCTTTTGTCCACTTTGCACTATCATGCTCCTCAAAGTAGCATTATTGCTTCTTAATCACTGAACAAATGGTCCAGCTCAGATGTTTTCTTGGTTTATAGCACTC